GAGAGAGAGAGAGAGAGAGAGAGAGAGAGAGAGAGAAAGAGAGAGAGATTGACGTGAGGATGGGTTGGGAGGGGTAGTGGCCCGTTCACGACAACGGCGCTGCGTCACGGACCTCTCGCACCTTGGTCCCCCGCCGGGGAGCGGCCTGCACGGCCCGGCCTGCTCCTCGCACGACACGTCAGGGTGGTTCCCTCGTCATCTGACGTGGCCTCTGAGCTGACCAGTTGCGCGCCACGTGGCGTGTTATCGGTGGACCTCTTGGGAGGGCGAGGTCGGTAAGGAGGGGTGTTACTAGGTGTGTGACGTGGGGTGAAACACACGAAGGGGTGAGAACCGAGTGGTGGTTGGTGATGACACGCTCGGGGGAACTAGGAGCTGATGTGTGGCTTACTACCATTCAACCGAGCAGTGCGCGAGTAAGCCAGGTGGTGGCGAAGCTGCGATCGGCTGCTGCTGAAAGGATAGTACCGTTGATCTCGTGGATCCAGAGTGTGCGGGAGTATTTACTGGAGGTCACATGGGGGTTGGAGGAGGGGCCGCCCCCCCACCTGGATGCGATTACAGACTGCCCACGATTGGACGACTTGATGCGGCGCTACTACGAGGAGGTTGAGGAGGGGCAAGATCTTTGCGCTACGCTGGAGGACCGCTGCTATGATGACGATGATGACATCATGGAAGACGTTAACAACATCAACCCCAACATCGACAGCAAAGACAACGACAATCTCACCGATATCACCGTTAATCACAACAACAACAACAATGACAAGAACAACAAAAGCAACAACAACAATGACGACAACAACGATTGTGGTGATAACAACAAAAACAACAACGATTACCTCGAAGACGGCGACGACGCTTTCATCCAGGCTTTGAAGAGCAACGACAACAACAACAACAACATCAGCAACGACAACAATAACAACAACAATAATAACGGCGACGACTGTGACCTCCGTGAAGATGACGATGACACACGCATCCAAGTCATTCAGGTCATCGCCACCAACAACGGCGCCGATTTCGCTGGCTATGAAGACAACAATTACAACATCGATTCGGGTGGGAGTGGTCGCTGGGTGCAGCGGACTCCTCCCACGATTCTTGCCATATTCGGTGGAGGGAGGCCTTTTGGGGAGAGGATCATTTTGCGCATATAAGTATCCGGCGCTGTTCGTGTGGGCGAGAAAGCATTGCGTTGCTTCAGTGGGATCCGGGTGGCAGGGTCGCAGGGTAGGGCAGCGGCCTTGGGGAGGCCCTTCATTTACCCTCCTCTGCTATCTGGAGGGGGGCGCTTTAATTGGTATACGTGGAACCCCGCCCGCCTGCCTAGGATCCTCCTTCTCTAATTTAGTATCTGAAGAGCTATCCAGGGTAGGTAATGATTTTGGGATTCGCTATAATTGACTTTCTATTAAGTTTCTAACTCTCTGACTTCCTATTCTGAATGCCTCTCCTCCTCATGGCGCTGCAAGGGCTTGTTAGCAAATGATGAGGATTTCAGAGTAGGGATTTGATTTAGACTGATTTTCTAACATTCTGACTTCCTATTCTGAATGCCTCTCCTCCTCATGGCGCTGCAAGGGCTTGTTAGCA